CCAGAGTCACGTAGAAAGAGTAAGAAAAAACAGCTGCAACATTAATAAAAGAGGACATACACTCTCTCATAGAGTTTATGTCTAGCAAAAGCACTGCTACATCTCCTGCAGTTGATGAGACATCCATCGAGAAGTGTATTGGCATGTTGGGACAAATTCCTGATATTCTAGCTGGGAGTGAAATTTACAGTTTTACTATGAATATGTTCCGCAAGAAAAATAACCGGCAGATATTTTTGGGAATGCCTACTGATGAAGCTCGCAAGTCTTGGTTGGAGTTTAACTATCAGTTATACCTCAAGAAAATGGATAATTGATCGTTGTGGTTGAGTATTTCTAGTATTACGTGTTCTAATATTGTGATTGTATGTGTAAACGTTATTATGGTTTTATGTGTAAACTTTATATATTTCTTCTTGTTTAGACGTTGTGATTGTATCATTAAACTTTTATTGAATTAAAGCTTCTGTTTGTTGAGCTTCCATCGTTAAGCTTCTGTTAAGCTTACTATTGTTAAGCTTCCCTTTACTTTATGTTTGTAAAGTTTCAGTTAAGGTTATGTTTAGAAAGCTTCAGTTAACTTTATGTTTTCATTTTCAGTAAAATGGAGAGTTCTAACTCTAGTGACATAGTAGATCCTTATCCAAGTTATTCGTCAGACGACGAAGATGAAGAAGAACTAGAGGAAATATAGAGGGAGCAAGATGAGAAGGAATGGACGGCTTCATGTCAAATAGCAGGTAAATTGATTTTGATGTATTACGAAAAATACCTATGCATGGAACCTTGTCGTACATCTAGCCGCTCTGGAAATGTATTTATTCAAGAGATATTAAGAGGAAACGAGACTCGTTGTTATGAAAATTTTCGATTGAGGAAGTCGGTGTTTGTTGATCTATCGAATGACTTAACTGAAAAGTATGGGCTTAAACCCACACGTTAAAGAATGTCTGTACACGAGATGTTAGGCATGTTCTTGATGACTTGTGCACATGGAGCTGGAAATCGATTGATACAGGAAATCTTTCAACATTCGGGAGAAACAATTCATAGACACTTTCATAGTGTTTTAAAGGCCATTTGTGAGCTTGCAAGAGATATAATTAGACCACATCAAAATTATAATGATGGCGCAGGAGCTCACAAGCCATGTAATGGTCGATATCTCCCTTTCTTTAGAGCAAGAAATATTTTTACATAATTCTTGTTTATTAAACTTATAACTTAACTTTTATAAGTATTACTAACTTAAGTTAAATTTATACTTGTAAATGTGTGTAGGATTGTATTGGAGCACTTGATGACATACATGTTAAAGAAAGACTACCGCAAGGTCAAGAGATACCATATATTGGACGTAAAGGCTACCGACTCAAAATATTCTTGCTGTCGTAGATTTTAATATGTATTTTACATTTGCATGGGCTGGATGGGAAGGAGCAGCTCACGATAGTCGTATATTTGGTGAGGCCCTTCGTAGACCAGAACTCAACTTTCCACGTCCAATTGGAAATAAGTATTATCTAGTTGATGCAGGATATCCGCATATGAAGGGATATATGGCTCCATACAAAGGAGATAATGTGAGATATCACCTAGCACAATTCCGTCGCGATGCAACAAGACAATTGCGAGAACCAAGAGGGCGAATTGAAATTTTTTAACTATTTGCGTTCTTCTTGTAGAAATATTGTAGAGCGCACATTTGGGGTTCGGAAAGCAAGATGGTCTATTTTGCGAGACATGCCTTTCTAGCACATTGACACTCAAAGAGACATCGTACTTGCTACTATGGCCATTCATAACTATATTAGAAAGAAATGCAATATGGATGATGCATTCCGAGCAGCTAAGAAAGAGAGATATGTTCCATCGGTTGATCCTGACGTTGGTACATCTTTGAGAGCTAATAACAATATAAATGCGAAAAATGTAGAAGAGCAAAGTGATCTTGTTTGGATGGGTCTTCGCGATTTGATTGCTAATGAAATTTGTGAAGCTTGATACTTGTAGTTGTATGAATCTTTTAAAACACTAATATTTATTATTTTACATTCCAATTGAGAAACACTAATGTTATCTTGTTATTTTGTATGTGTTTGTATCTTCTGTAGCATAATCTGATGACATCTCATCCTGGATAATTTTTTTAATTTACAAATTATCAGTGCATTGATCACCAAGCTAAATGGATTCACAATCCCATAAGTTTATTATCAGCTTAAGTTATCTTAACCCTTAAATAACAAGAATGCTTCAGCCATTAGGGAAGCTATAAGAAAAATCCCACGAGAACCAGCTAGAAGCATACTCAACGGTTATATTTTTTTTCCTTGCATGCACATCGGAAAAAATGAATTAACAGGCAGTCTTGGCTGAATAGAACCATTTTTACCCAGATTTTCAATTTCTTTCCTCTTTTGTACAAACTAAAAATGAGCGTTCAAGAATTATATTTGTAAAAACTATCTTAAGTAATCATTTAAATTGAAATTAAATTAAAATATAAATTATTTTTTATTTACATTTATTATATAAATCAAATATATTGTAGTAATCAGCTCCTTTATAATGTTAACAGCTCTAAGGATATTTCTGTCTTTTCGGTAGAAAAAAGTTCTTGCCAGCACTTGTTTACCAAACACTTCAACAACTTTTTTAAGCTTCAGCACTTTTATCCAAATAGATAACTGCTTATTTATAAAACAAGTTTCAGCACTTAAAAGCTGCTTTTAAGCAGTTGTACTTAAAAGCTACTTTTTTCCAGCTAATCCAAACGGGCTCATGGCCTATTGCATAGGAAGCACCTCACTATCTTCTATCTGGCACTAATATAGTAGGGAGTGTACCTTCTACAAGTGTTAATTTATGACATTAGAGTATGTTAGAAGTGTGACATCCACATAAAGGCAATAAATTTTGCATTAATAAACTAAGGTAAGTGCTTTGCGTTGGTCAGCATATATTGGATTTAAAACAAGCTAAATAGATAGTCTCTAGTTCTTTTTAAGTAATTTATTAATATTGATGTACACATTCTACTTAGTGGTGAAAAGTTGAGTTAAATAAATGATGAGAAAGGTGTCTTTTATGCGAAATTATTTTTGATATTCTACTGTGGTCAAAAACTAAACTTGCTAGGTTACGAGAATTTTAAAAAATATTGCTTTGAAAATAGGAGTACATTTTTAGGAGTTTGAAAACAACAACTCTACAATGTCTTCTCAATTCAAAAGCTTTTTTGAAATCTTTATCAATTTTATGCAAGATTTTCATACGACATAACTATTAAAAAAGTTCTAGAAATGATTCACCGTTGCATATAAATGATTCAAGATAACAAGTTTGAGATATGCATTGGAAAAAGGTACTTCAATGCAAAATTAAAGGAGACCAACTTCCCAAGTGATCAACTAGACACCTTTAGATGTATGAAATCAGCCTTCTAAATACCCGGTCCTAACATTCCTTAGGTGAAATACAAAAAACACCTTGACATGTATTCATTTGCAAATAATTTGGTTATACGTCTCATACATGTGTCGGAGGGGCAACGATAAATAAAAATAGTTTTATTCTTATTTTTTTAAAAGAAGAAAAAGACCACAGGCCTCATTTAAAAAAATAAAATTCGTTAACGGTGAATATTTTCTAAAATATTACATAATTTTTTATGAATGGTAGAGATGCGTGTAAGATGGCTCGAACACCACCGTTATAAACAAGTTTTGATAAAAAAATTATGTGAATCTTATTGTTAAAAGTTAAAGAAACTATTTCAATAAACACTCTTAGAAGAACCAAAATTCTTGATCAACTGAAGTGAGGCCAAAACAAGCTATAAAACCGATCCGATTGACCTCATTCTCTCCAAAGTTTGTAGAGTAGCTTTTTGAAAGTTGAAAATATTCTATGTAATTTCAATTATTCATTTTTGACTTAACCCGATTAGATTTTTCACTAAAACAAATGGCAAAAATAAAAGAACAAGTTCAACATATTCAACGTCATAAAATATCTTACAAAAAAGTTAAAGGATATAAGGTCTCCTCACATAACAAGTTATTGTATATGTATAATGGGAGATAATTCTTGATATTACTGGTGAGTGGTTCATCAATCTAGATAAGTCAAAAGACGGTGAGCACCATCATTATGTGGTGTCACAAGCAGACTCTTGTTATTGGTCTTTACTGCTCAGAAAAGCTAAAGGGCCCAATGATTGTCGAATTATCATGTGCACCCTGGATATGGAGGTTTCGCAGATGAAAAATGTTAATCATAAGGTGACCGTGGATGTACTAAGTGACACAAAAAAATTGATCTGAGCAACATTGATGCGAATAATTGTGATAAACTGGGGGTTATACTCCATGTTGAAAATCGGGTCTAAATGCATTTGGTCTATCCTATTGTATATCACAAGGGGTCTAATTGGAAACTTAAAGGCTGTAGATTGAGTCTTCCTGATAGAGAAAAAGGAATGCAGGTTAAGAAGTTTGATGAAGTCTACAAACGATGCAAGTTGAGGGAGTAGATGACTTTAGCATTTGTTAGTTATGTTTCATATAAGTTCTGAGTAGTTATTAGTAGTAGGCCACTTTCTTATTCCAGTAGTTTTAGGAAGTTATTTCCTATATTTTAGGTGGGTGGTGAATCCACCGGTCTTTTTATAAGATAACTTGTAAAGACATTCCTTTTCTTCTCATCCAAAATTGAAAAAAAAAAAGATTGGCAATCAGACTTTAAAAAAAAATGAGTCCCACATCGACAATGAAGGGGATGGGTGGTCTCCTTATATGGACTTGGGCAATCCTCACCTCTTCAGCTAGCTTTTGGGGTTGAGTTAGGCCCAAGGTCCATTTAACATGGTATCAGAGCAGGACCCATCCCGATTTTCCTATGTTGGGCCCCCATAATTGTCCATGCTCTGGATGTCCAGTCCTGGGCGTGAGAGGGGGTGTTGAGTCCCACATCGACAATGAAGGGGATGGATGGTCTGCTTATATGGATTTGGACAATCCTCACCTCTTGAGCTAGCTTTTTTTTTTGAAGTATCTAATGAACAATGTCAAGAAAGTTTTCTCTCCATATATCTCTTATAATCAAGGATTTTGGACTTACTTAGAAAATTCACAATCTCGTATACATTTAGAAGGAACATGCTTTCTCGGAATACATGCAATGAAGTTCCAACCTACATATAATGAGATTTAAAAGGCTCGAGGACCTTCAAACCTACACAGAATAGTTCATCAGATTCTTTCCCCACACTATAATCTGGATAAAGGTGTTCAAACTTAAAAAATAAATAATATTTTTCAATGTTAAAAATACTAAATCAGACTACATAATATTTAGCTTTGTCATTTTGCTTTATAGTTTATCTCCAAAGCATCATTCAAGTACTAAATTTGAAATGTGTTTTTGCATTTCTATTGTAAATTTTAGTTGAAGAAAGAAAATCACTCAGGGGATCGTAGTATAAAAGAAAAAGAATCACAAGGCACCAGTAAAGGAGAAAAGTTAGAAGTTAACAAAAGAGAAAAGAAAAATAAGAATCAGCCTCGACGGTGTCCGACATGCGGAACCGACAAGGTTTTAAATAGACTTCTTGGAATCAAATCAAATAAAATTTATTTTTTAAAATAAAACTAGTATAATAGTGCATGTTTCATGTGGTGTGTGAAATATATTAAATTTTAAAAAAATATTTTTATAAATTCACTCAAAATAATATAAATATCTTTATTATATTTAGATACATTGAGCAGTATTTTCTACGATCAAATTTTGTTATGAAAAAAAAAAAAAGAATTTTAAAGAAAATAGATTGGATAGATATCATTATCAATTATTCTACGAAAATAGATTTTGTAGTAAAAAAATAATCCCCTAAATTGTGTCACCAAAAATAAATATTGCTCAAGAAAATATAAGAAACAACTAGGGAATATATAGTCTTTTGGTCTGTCCATGAAATACACATTAATTATATGTTTTTAAGCATCATGAATTTCTCAATTAATACAATTTTGCCTTGATAATTATTAAAAAATCATCATCAAATTTCACAATTGAGAAACCTTACTCCACATAGTTTACAAGCAATATCCTTCTTCACTCGTGTAACGACCCAGCCGGTCGTTTTGAGAGTTAGAGCCCGGATCCCCTATTAACTGCTTCTTCCGTATTTATTTCTGCTATTGTGACTTTCCCGGAGGTTTCATTTTGGTTTATGAAGGGTTTTGGGACGCTTAGTCCCTAAATGGAGTTTTAAGCCTTAGGATTTGGACAATAGTCGGAATTGTGTGACGACGACGCCGAAATGGAGTTTCGTCGATTCCGTTAGCTTTGTTGGGTGGTTTTGGGCTTTGGGGCGTGTCCGAATTGTGATTTGGAGGTCCGTAGCTCATTTAGGCTTGAAATGGCGAAAGTCAAATTTTTGGAGTTTTGGACCGATAGTGGAATTTCTGATACCGGGGTCGAATTTCGATTACGAAAGTTGGAGTAGGTCCGTTGTGTTGAATATGACTTGTATGCAAAATTTGAGATCAATCGGACGTGGTTTGGTTAGTTTCGGCATCGGTTGTCGAATTTAGAAGTTTCAAGTTTCTTTAAGTTTGAATTGGAGGGTGATTCATGATTTTAGCGTTGTTTGATGTGATTGAGGGCTCGACTAAGTTCGTATGATGTTATAGGACTTGTTGGTAAGTTTGGTTAAGGTCCGGGGGGCCTCGGGTGTGTTTCGGATGCTCAACGGATCATTTTGGACTTTGGAAAGATAGCAGATTTTTTGGTTTTTGTTGCAGATGTTTGTTCTTTGCGTTCGCGAAGAGGAGCTCGCGTTTGCGAAGGGGTGGCCAGTAGAAGCATCGCGAACGCGAGCAGTAGGTAGCGTTTGCGTAGAGGAAAATGGAACAGCTGGGTGTAACGACCCGACCGGTCGTTTTGAGCCCTAGCGCGCTGTCACACCTCCTTTTTCTTACTACACCCCGCGAAGG